AAATGTGCAGTTCATGCCCCAGTTACCTCCGGCTCCTGGATTTGGATATGAATATGACACTCCCTATCCCCAACCTATGTACGCTCCGCCTGCCAACATGGCGAACTTAAATTTCGAACACGCGGTGACCATGATGCCTCGCTCTTTCGTTGGTGAAACTTGGTTTTCAGAGGCTCCAGGAATGGTTGATCCCTCCCTACAAAGCGTACCATATGGTGGACCACAAACGCCTATCGTCGGAGGCCTAATACCCCTTACATCTCTCCGAATCGACAGGATACTCCGCTTCACTTCGATCCTGCCGCCGAGGCTTATCAACCTATGTTTCGCTCGACGCTCCCGCCAAGTCCGCCGCATACATCTCGCGTAGCTGGAGCTACACCCGGGCCTTTGCAGGGTCCGTCAGTCAGTGCACGCGAATCACGCGCGACCATCGAACACAAGTTACACAACCAATTAAACATCGGTCGAATCGAAGACGGCGAAGACACGCGCACTACGGTGATGATTAAAAACATACCGAACAAAATGAGCGACAAGGATCTCATCGCGTATATTGGAAAAGTCTCTTCGCGTAAAATCGATTTCCTCTACTTGCGGATGGATTTCCAGAACGGTACGTACTTTTGAGGACCGGAGGATTGGTAATCAACCTCATCTCTTATGCAGGATGTAATGTTGGCGACACATTCGTCAACTTTATTACCGTCCAGGATCTGCTATTCTTCGCCAAGAGAAAACTTGGTGAGAATCTTTGTCCTTACGTGACTCATAGTTATTGCTCACGCGTCTTGCAGGTGTTCGACTCCTTTGCGCTCAGTACCGCACCTTGCTGTAATTCTCCCTCAACAGGGGGAAATTCTCTACCTCGGATAGTGGCATGGCTCGATTGATACCATCCGACATATACCAAGCGCGATTCAAGCATTCAAAGCGAACCATCCAACAGGTTACAGAAGCCACGACCATGACCCGCAAAGCTCCCTCGTCACGCTCGCCTGCCCTGTATGTTGACTGAAGCGCAGTGATTCAATGTATTTATGTTCAAATATATAGTCACTGATATCTAAGAATGCGTGAAGTCTTGGCCTTCTCAGTCGCGTCAATACATGCATTTCTAAGCCACTTCTCTTCACCACCGCCCCTACACCACGCTGCAGCGCACGGACGCCAGCGGTTTTGACAGCGCCATTGCAGGTGAATTCTCGTCGCGCCCATGCCGTCGCACGTCGCCGACACTCCATATCAGCTTCACATACTTGGCGACCTCGCGACGTCGAGACTCACTTACTCAGACGACGCTAACAGTGATCATATGTACTATTAACATTACTATACATCTTTACAATGAAGCATTCACATCAACGTCATATGGTACATCTGTAAGCAATTCACAGAACAAGAACCATGTGGTAGCCCAAAAAAACTTCAACAAAACATCGTCCACAGGGGGGGCGGAGGGGGGGGTTTCTTGTCCGTCATCTAGATCGCTTCGTAATATCGACCGAAAACGGCGTGAGAAAAGTAGCAGGTTCTGCGGGCGAGAGCGCGCGTTCACCGGCTAATACTGGCGAGGTCCCCAGCCGGAACAGCCAGTTCACCACGGTTGCTACTTATGTAAGTTATGTATCAAAACGGACGCAATAACTACTTCACAATGCCGCAGCACACACGTACGCACCAGGAGTCGAGCATTCTAGAGACGCCGAAGCCGCACCTCCGAGCGACAGACGTTCAAGATAGGCCACCAGCGGACGTTGCGGGCACAGATCCATTCCCTCAATGAGGCATACCAGGACGCGGTATCATCTATGCCCTCTTGAGTATGCCATCGCCCGGTATCTTGCCTTCGCATACAAGAAGATACGACTTCGGCGGGGGTACACTTGCGGAGGCAGGAGTGCCGGTGGAGGTGGGTACGGCGTTCTCATCTACGTTCTGACGGGGCGTAGCAGAACCCCTCCGTCGGTGACAACGTACCATACAGAGCCTTTCTCAATCTACGTCATGTATTTCAATCAATATAGTACACCCATCCCTAGACTTTCATCCCATATCCATGTGTATGGATACTCAACTCCACCAAAGAACATGAATGAACTCAAACCACGACGAGCGAGCCGGTTCCTTGATCACCAGGCTATCGGAGTACTTGAAGGGCCGGAGAGACGCATACAGAGATCCAGTGCGATGCGAATACGTGCAGCGGAAGAACGCTCAAATAAATACTATACGTGGTAGGACGAATGCGAAGCGCCTAGACGCGCAATCATTATGCGAATACAAATTACAGTAGCACGAGCGCTCGCGCCGGCGGAAAGACTAGATACATATCATGAATGGATGTGATGAGAAATGGATTTGTATATGGATGGGGCAGATGTGTACGTAAATGAGCATGAGGAGAAAATGGGACGACGGGGTGTATGTATGCAAGCAAACAAGAACAAGAACAGCAACGCAAATTAATACGCACACGGCACAAGAAATCTAAAAAAACGGGTACCGTCCATGCCTTCTCGGGATGGACGTCATCATCGTTAAGGAATCGTCACAGGCCATATATCCTTCAAGCTTCATCTTCCCCATCACCCTCACCGCTCCGGCACAAGCACCATCTCCCCCGCCTTCGGACTCCCAGGCTCCACCACCTCCCCATCCGCATCATACATCCCCCCTCCATACCCACCCCCATACCCATACCCGTACCCATACCCAGGATACCCATACGAGTACCGAGGCTGTGCCGCCGGAGGCGCACGCGCGCGGTACGCCTCCCTCTCTTCGTCGGATAGAGGCGTGGGCGAGGCGGTGATGAGGCGGTCGAGCAGCGTCAGCGTGTAGCTCGACGGGGGCTGCGTCTCCGGGTCGGACAGATCCTGTGTGTCCTGCTGTTGGCTTGTACTTGTAGGATTAGAAGAGGAGGGGGAGGGGAACGTATACGCAGGCTCAGACGACACCGCCCCCGCAAAGAACGAATACGTATACCCCGCGCCCTCCTCACTCCCCATCGACACACGCCCCCCCTCCTTCCGCCCCCTCGCACGCAACCCAAGCGGGTTCCCACACACCGCGCACCCCACCCCCTCCCGCCCCGCACGGATCTGCGCCCTTGCTCGCGCGTCGTCGAAGTACATCGCATCGAGCGGGGCGAGGCCGGAGGAGGCCCCGGGGGAGAGGGCGTGCCACGTGTTGGTGGTGGTGGTGGGGGAGGAGGACAAAGGGGAGGCCCGGCGTCGTGGTGCAGCGGCGGAGTGGATACGTGCGCCGCACCCCGTCGTGCTTGTGCGCTTGCGTCTGTGTTTGAGGCGGGACGGGCTCGGCCGTGGTGGGGGCGGATACAGCGGGAGGACGGACGGGGTGTAGGGCGTGTGGTCGTTTGAAGTCCCGTTGTGGGCCTCCTCTTCGGTGCTTACGTCGCCCCCGCAGAAGAGGGCGTAGGAGTAGTCCGGTTCGTCTTCGACTGCATGTCGGCGGGTGGGGCGCGTGCGGGGGCGGGGATGCGCGTGGGGTGTGTCCTCGGGCTCGGAGTCCCATGAGGGGGGCTCGTGCACCACGATGAGGGAGGGGCTGCGCGGGGGGTGGGCGTGGGCGTGAGGGTAGGTGTGGTCGAGGCGCATGGCGCCGCGGCGACGGAGGCGGGAGGCTTCGCCTGTGCGGACGAGATCCGAGAGGACGATGGAGTCGTCGGCGTCGGTGGGTACGAGCGGGGAGGCGGAGGCGGAGGTGGAGGCGGTGGGGTCGTGGTCGTCGCTGTCGCCGTCTGTGGAAATTGAATTGGAGGAGCGGGAGTGGTATATCAATGGCATATGGATTGAGGGAAGGAGGTGATGGGACAACTTGTAAGAGGCGAAATGTGTCAGCCAGTGCATGTGTGCTTACCTAATAACACATTGTCGGCGATGTCCTTGACATCTCGCCACCACGATCTGCTGCGTGTATCCAACTGACTCAGGTGCGGACACCTGGTAGCTTCGTGCTTGGGGTCCGAGTCATCTGCTGCTGAGCCTTGGTGGCACAAGTCTGCACGTCATGTCAAGTCAAGGTTTGTCGACCCTTACAATTCATTGAAGAATTACAATAGCGTACCATCCATGGAGCCTACTATCCCTGGGACGGCGGAGGACCACAATACAACGTTATTGTCACTCTGCACCCCCCATGACCATGCCCTCGATACTTCGCCCCGCTAACTCCTATCGCCCTTGACATGCACACAAAGTCTACACATGCCTAGATTGCATACAGGAACGCCTCGCGTCCTGAGTTCGAGGTCCCGGCGGCAGGCGAGCACGCGGTATCAGCGTGTACTTCAAACGGCACTGGGTGGGGTGTCGATATCCGGATGACGAGGCATGTCGTGGCGGTGCTGTCAGAGCCTCTCGTCCTGATACGTCGGCGCACGAGTAAGTGAGGTATCTATACATTGCCCTGTTACATGCCGGACCCCCCAGGCCCATGAGGCGAAGGTCAAGCCCTTCTGGTAGCGCACCGATAACGGGACAGGTACGTGCGACATATCACCGCATCGAAGAAGGCTATAGGTTTGACGCCAGGTGCAGAATCGTAAGGTATCCCGTTCGTAAAAATGGCATCCATTTCAGACGTAGAGTCTGATTCTGCGTGTGATTCCATCGATTTCCTGGAGGATTTTGGCCCTGCCCACAATCTAGGTACAGAAAGAAGACGTCGCGGAGGAGTCTTGCGGTAATCCGTGAATCAAGTTCGATCTTTCGAAAACATGTGAGCTGTGCTGTACAGTGTACAGCACCTCTGGATCGGCCGCGCCAAGAATACAACACCCAGAATTCGCGCCGTCTGAGCAGGCTGTCACCCTAGGACGCGGTTTATATTCTTTTCTCAAAAGGAAGGTTTGTTCCTAGACACTATGCTCGTACCGTGTGCATCATGATTCATAATTCATAGAGTCGGCCCCTTGGCTGCTGTCCTATAACGAAACTCAAACAAAATCACCAGATAAAAAACCTATCAGTATCTCATTCGGGTACGGGGAATCGAACCCCGAGCTGCCGCGCACAATTCTAGCTATCGTTGCCATATGAGAGGCGGCAATGTTAGCCGTTACACCATACCCGAGGATGAAAGTGATCGATCTCGTCGCCTCGAAATGTTCTTTATCCCCTGAAAGATTCCCTCGACGGTTCGAGAGCCTTCGTTTGAGAGCCTTCGTTTGAGAGCCATGGACAGCTACTAGTATTTCGGTGCCAAAATAATATCAGCGGTATAGCGTTGTAGTCTCGCCAAGCGGGAAACAGGCGGGACTGGCGGTTGCTTGTGCGTGTTTGGCAGTAGCTTCGGGGTAGACAGACAGACTTGTACACGGTAGACTCAGATCATCATCATCGCACTTCATCGCTGCTGCCGCGCGGAGCTCGTCAGACTCAGATGGGGCCACTCCAGCGTCCTTCCTTGGCCGAGACCTATATACGCGGGTAGATACGTAGTGCGGTCGAGGCGTTACTTAGTAAACCTTACAAAGCCTAAACTTGGACTTGGCTGGAAGTTGTCTCGTCAAACGATACTCAGACGCACTTGCCACGACAAAACAATTAGGGCCTAACTCGGATACGACGCATCGAACCCTTAGGCCTTAGGGGCCGCGCACGAAGCTGACAGTGACACGCCGCTATCGATAATCAACTCAGCGAGTAACATTAATTGGCAAGAACGACGCGTCGCGACACGCTCACGTGAGGTATTCACTCCATCTAGACTCAGGTCATGGCTTGACCCCATGACGCAGCTCATGATCCCGAAACCGTTCACACCCTCGAGACTCGCTTGGCCCCGACAAACACACAAGGGGCCAGATCCGTCTGGCACGTCACTAGGCCGTACCCCATACCCGCCCGAGGGCCTTGGAAGGATTGCTATTTCAATCCCATATACTCTCTCACGTGTCACCTGAGACTTCTTGAACCTTCTACTTAAAAGCAGCGCTGCTGGGATATGACGAATTCACTCTCACCATCCCAACATGTCCCGCAAGTTCGTCTGCGTTCCTTCCGGTATCAAAGCCGCTTATCGCCAGGTGCCCGAGGTGCCCAACCCGGAAAACCCGACGCTTGTGCTGCTTCACAGCTTTACGACGAGCCTTGATCTGTACGAGCCGCAGTACGCCAATGAAGATCTCACGAGCAAGGTCAACTTGCTCGGAATCGACGAAATTGTAAGTAGCCTCGCAGACCTGCTGTGAAGGCTAAGAACGAACCATATCACTTCAGGGACATGGAAAGACAGAGGGTCCCACTGGATGGTATTTCGCCGCATTCGTACGGGGCATTGCTTCCTGTCTTGACACATAGATTCGCAGGTCATTTTGGACCACTGCGCAAATGGCTCTGGATGTTACTGTAAGCATCCGAAATGGCGTAAGCGGAATCCAGCAAAGCTCACCCCCACCCTCTCATGTAGGATGCGTTGAACATTCCGAAAGTTTACGCACTCGGTACTTCTCAGGGTGGATTCGTCGTCAGCAGGATGGCGATTCTGCGTCCCGACAAGATGCTCGGTATCATCCCTGTCGGCTCCTCCATGTACGGGGAGACCGATGACACCCGCAAGCTCGGCTGCTGGAACCCGAACGAGGTCTTCCCTCCCGTACGTTGTCCATCGCACTATCCTCTTCTTTGAATGTCGTCCGACTGTTTGCTTTTCACCTAGTGGTACATGGCCTTCTTTAAGACGAAACCCAAGCCGGACTTCGAGGTCCCGCAGCGCTTCTTGGACGACCTGATCGGTGTTGGGTTTGGTGAAATTGTGACGAAGGAACAGTATGAGTACTGGTCGAGGTCGATTCGCGACACTTACAGGGGAGAGGAGGGGAGGAAGAAGATCTTGATGTGTGAGTCCACGCTGAACTCTACAGTTGCAATGGGGGGACCCATGGCTGATTTATTGCTTGATACGTGAATAGGTACAATTTGCCTCGGGGAGCGCGATTCGCTTGAGTACAAGCTACCGGAGATTACCTGCCCCGTGCTCATTCCTCGTGCGTTTGGCTTCCGTTGGAAAATTCATAAGATGACCTGACTCCCTGCCATAGATGGGGACAAGGACGCCGTTTACTCCGTCAAGGTTGCCGAAAAGTGCGTTCGGTGGTTGATGTAAATCGCACACAGTGATATAACCTTTCATCTAAATCTCCCGCAGGTACTCGAAGTTGATGGTCAACGCACCGAGTGTCAAATTGAAGGTCATCAAAGGAGGTCGCCACTTCTTGAGTGCCTCTCACCCGAAGGTCAGTGCAGGCGCCCCAGATGAACCTGAAGGGTGCTGATGGGTTTGCTTATCTTCCAGGAGACGGATGAACTCGTCCTCGACTGGATTCTCAAGATGGAGGGCCAGAAGCAGTAAGGATGAACAGCAAAGTCGAAGAACGAATGTACCATTATCTGAGTTTTAGACGCAATGTCATGTTACAGCTATCGCATGTAAGGTATCAAACCATAGGTCCCTCAAGTGCTGCACGCGCCGGCTCGCCTGGGCTGGACCAAGCCAGCGATATCGGCACCCAGAACGATGCTTACCCGTTGAAGTCGCGTCGTGAGCACGCCGCCTAGTGTCTCTCGCTCTCTGGCGTCGCTGAACATCTACACAATCGGGTTCATGTAGAGATGGTATAGGACTGAATTGTGCACGCTTGCATGCGTGCCGGCGAGGAGGTCAGGGCGTTTAAGTGGTATGAGGTGGGATGGCTTGCGTTGGTAGAAGCGGAGGAGCCGGGAAAGGCGCTGTCCGATCGTTTTTGCAGGGGGTGGGCGGCCACAATGCGTGTAGGGGACGCCGAAGCGCGTCTGTGGTACACTTAGTACAGGCAGAGACGGAAATTGGGATATACATACGTGCCAGGCACGGCTTGTGAGGTCAAATGAGGTCAGTAACTGACGGGCGGGGACGTTCATGTCGTCGCTGAGAGCAGGTCGGGATTAGCTGTAGTATGCGAGAAGAGGTGTGCCCACTTCATACTGGTCAATGTATCGTCCGACGTAAGTCATGCAATCCGCGTTATACTGTTCACCCATAAGCTGGTGGGTGTGCCTTGCAAAGTCGATGTCAAGTGTTGGGACATAGGATGAAACCGGCGATGCCGCCATAAGATCCAGAAATCTACGGAAATTGTGGGTGAGTGCACTACCAAGGACTGTGGCTACGTTGAAACGAACGCGTGATAACGGGCGACGGAGTGCTGGATTGCTACCTCGCCTGCTTCATCGTCGAAGACCTCGAATCCAATCCATTGAAGGTCTTGCATCTTCTTCACAAACAAGCCCTGTCGAATGACCTAATACGCTGTCAGTAGTTTCCTTGTCCGAATGAAGGGTAGAAGGCGTACTGCGCCGACCAGGTCTGCCGAGAACGGCCTATCATCTGTATAGGCCGATAGTATCCTGTCCACCCTTCATACGCAAATTTAATGAACAATAACATGATTCGCCCAAACATTGGGTGAACGCACAAGTCTCCCTGCAACTCCCGCATTTGCATCGGTATCGCATAGCGCATGTTCGCCAGATCAGTCCATCTCTTTGAACTATTGAGCAAAATGGAGCCGACCCATTCTTCTTGGCTACTCCCTGGCGCGCGATGAAAGCTGTCGCCCTTCAGGATCTGGTCTTTGATGTGCTTTCCTCGTGCAAGGTCGATGCCAGTCGTAGGTGTCCAAACACTGCCTCTGTTACCACAAGGTAATTCAGTACTGAACTTCCGGAACAAGATGGACTCCGGGGCGTACGCCAAATATGTTCGTGCTCCCCCATCCTCTCGAACGAGGTCATCAGCAAACTTTCTAATGCCAAGCGTATCTAGAGTGATAGCGGTCGGCATTGGGCCACTGCAGCTACTGCAATCGAAGCGAAAGTCTTGTTGTAGATACCCCGTACCCCAAGAGTTCAAATAGGCTTGGAACGATGCACATGTCATGGGATACAGAAGTAATCGTGTACGACGACGTACGTATCTGGAGAGCTTTTCGGCATTTGGGGCATTTGATAGTCTTGGTTCGGTTCATGTGCGCGTCTTCCAAGGCATCGAATGGCCTACGAGTTCTAGAGCGCCAGAAGTCTTCCCTTGTCTTTGTGGACTCAAAGGCGAGGATTTCTTGCGCCCCAGAGGACTGCAAAGATAAGAATATCAGGGGTCCTGTACCTCTGATCCTAAAGTGAGGCGACGTACGAGATATGAGGTGAAAAGGTGGCCGGCTTGAGCCAAGTTCTTCAACGTGGGTAGGCGAGTGCAGTCTTCGGCATACCATCTATCTTTTTCGCTCAGCTGATACTGAAAATTCCGCGTAGAAATGACGCACCCTGGGTTTAACATGTATGCATGCCACACCTGATACCGTTTGTCGCTCCAGTCATCCATCACCAAGTTTGAATGCGAGGGAACCCACCATGAGAACATCCAGCGGCGGCAGAAACTCTGCAGCGGGCTTTTTCGAGTCCTCCAAAGTCAGGCTCTCACACCAGATCCTAAATCTATGAACGATGACTTGCGTGTACCCGAGAATACATGTTTAACGCAGCTTACCTTTCGACTGCGAACCCTACGAACCAAACCCATCTTTCATCTCGAGTACGTGGCATGAACGGAACAGCGGGTTGGGATGATCCATCGAAGTCTTCGATCTTGGCCCGTAGTGCTGTAAAAGCATGTAGAAGCGCCAAGTGGCCTTTGATCTGCGCGCTGTTGACGAGGGGTCCAGGGATTTGTTTTTGGCCAACATCGAACCTTTGAGGGAAAGTGTAGCCAGGGGGTAGGATGTACGTTGGTCCTTGATGTGGTCCAGTCATCGCGTATGCAAGGGGCACTGTCATGCCACTCCCAGAGAACAGAGGCGTATATATGTCCAAAGAATCAACTCCGAATGACTTGCTCCAGCGAATTCACGGTCAAAAAAAGCGGTGTTGAATAACAATAGACAGGCCATCCCATTAGAAGGAGTTGTTGGATTACCAGACGTGCATCGCCTCCCAGCCCATCACGTCGACATCCCAATTAGCCAATTTGAACAACGAAGGACGCAGTGATCAGCCTAAGCTTTTCAATAACTTGAAGTCGAGCCGGAGTATACGAGC